GACTATAAACATATATGTCCTGATGATATCATATCATATATATATATATACAATTTTGTAATGAATAAACGGCAAATAATAAATTAGATAACCGGTTCACATGTACAGTTACACACTGAATAATCGATGATTTTGTTTAAGAATTGTAAAGCAATTACACTGAGTAGTCAAATGCATTTCTTTAACATAGATGAACTCACAAGTAGGAGATATTACCAAGTCAAGTAAAATAAAAATAAATTGTTATTTGATCCCGGTGATTGTTGATCTTTGATTCTCAAGTTATGACCTGCCAGTGCATATTTGAATTGCCATTTACATTCCAAATATTACATCCTCATGCAAACCCACTGTGATTTGTGGTCGTATTGTTGACATACATATTAACGTTTTTACTGTTCCTCTAGCTACATCTGACTATGTATGTTACATAGTCTCTGTAGTATATACAGTATACTCTATGGTATACTGTATGGCATACTCTATAGTATATACATCTGACTATATATGTTATCATAAATGAAACTGCTCGCTTTTTACAAGATAAAATATCACAAAACAGTTAAATCAGTTCTCGCGCTGCTCGTAAGGACATTGAAACTTCCCATGATGTCGTAATTTTCTTGTATCGGGGGCGAACTTCCAGCTCTGCTGATGTGGACAGTCTTCGACAGACAACCCACAAAGGGAAATTCGGCCTTACGATTTTCAGCCTCTGCGATTGTTGCTGGAAGTGGCATGTTCAAGGTCTCAGGCAGTCCTAGCCCGAGCACACCAGCCGTGAGCGCAAGAGCCCCCATAATGAACGCGGGCAAAGTCTGATAGTCTTTACCTATGTAGACGACATAAGGCACTGCTATCGTGCCCAGCGCTGCAACGACTTGACTGAAACCGGTGCCCAGGCCACGCACCACTGTCGGGTACACTTCGCCAGCAATTAGGTATATGTCAACAAACGACGCAGATATGCCGAACTTTCCGATGACTGTCAACATTATAGTTATCCATAGATGGTTATCGTCCAGCGGCACCAGCACTGTCGTGATACAGGCCACGCCAGAAACGACCATGGCCAGGCAGAGCGGGCCGCGACGTCCCCAGCGATCTAGGACGAGCCACAGAAACGGGTATCCTAGCATCTCTGCCAGGGCTGACAGAAGCATGTTCAGATAATCCGAGCTTCCCAGCATTGGAATGTACAGGTTTAGACCCACGTACACTGTAGCGTTTGCGAACCAAATGAACGTAATTAGAAAGGTCTTGTTCCGTAGATTCTTAGTCTTGAACAAGTCCCTGAAGTTGTATTTTCTGGTCGTTTGTGGCGCTTCCTCATTTCCATAATCTATGCCTGTTGTGTCTTCTTTAGGTTTTAAGTTCTCTGAAAGTATGTTTACCGGTATTTCTTTACCATTAACTTTGGCAATTGTTTGCACTAATCTCTCGGCCTCAGCTACTTTATCATTTGCCATCAACCACCGGGCCGACTCTGGCATAAAGAACCAGTACACATAAAAAATTGCAAACGGCAGGGAAGTAGCGAGAGCGAGATGTCTCCATTCACGCACTAGGTATGCAACTCCGGGTAGTAGACACAAGCCGACTGAATACGCCATGCACTGCATCAGTGTGGTGAAGCTTCGCTTCTCTGGCCCAACCAACTCGATCCCCTATCACACGAATGGAATAGTGAATATTGCAAGGGATCGTGAGGCCGACCAGGAAGCGGAAGAAAGTAAAGCTGATTGGTTCCGGTGCGAAAGCTGAGGCAACCGCAGCAACAAGCTGCAGCGTGAGGCATATGAAGAATGAAAGTTTTCGTCCGAGTCTGTCCTGTAGGAATCATCAGATGTAATTTCACACCAAGTTCCCGAGAGAGATGATTGAGAAACCAGGGGCGTTATCCAAGCGCGATCACAAACAATATCCCAGGCGGTACTAGTCGTGGAGTCGTACAGAGTCTGGTCGAAGTCCCATCCATCGTCGCAATCAATAACTGGCCACAACATATTATCAGGTTGCCAACTGCCATTTTGTGCTACAAGTTCACTGTAGTTTGCATCGTACATACACACCTGAGCATAACTTCCACCCCTTGCTTGTACTCAATGGGTATGCTCAAGTTCTTTTTGTCATCATCAGCGTATTCCTTCAGTTCTTCCACGTGACACCAGTGGTCAGGCACGGCAAGGAGGACAATGGTGACATATCCCTGGAATGCACACGGAATGCATGCAGGGATACACACTAGCCAGAATAACAACTTTTGGTAGCGTCCCCAGCTGCCGATCCGCGGTAGAACATCATCAAAATCCTGTACCATTTTCTCACTGGAGTGTTGCCGCCTGCAAGTGTCTTCCAATCCTTGTAACTGCAAAAATAAAAAACATTTAAATTTGGTTTCACGATTGAAGTGTCCTCTATTTAAAATTTCCTATACCTACGCCACATTTGTAACAGACCTATTACATAAATTTCGATAACACATTATACAAGTGACATATTATATTATGACTAGAAAATAGATTAGTATAAAACTAACAAAGCAAATATATTTCTAGTTGTAAATTAAATTTTACCTTTGATAGCGGTGATGGACTTCTATGGTCGGTACTGCCTATGGATCTCGCCTCTATGACTATTCATGCTCCAGATAGTCCAGTTGCTAAAATGTTGACCCTGCAATGTTAACTTACTGTTTGAACTTTTTCATGGACATGTGTTCTATATAGTTAAGGCAGAGCGCTTAGCTTGTTGCTACCTGTGGCAACGTTATGACGCATTTCTTGGAATTCAAGATGGCCGCCGCCGGTCGATCTTGATTTTGGTCAATTTACAACTTTGTATCTCGAGGCCCTAGAGTGTCATGCAATACCGCTTTTTAGGGTTTTCGAGGTCAGGAGACCATTTCTGGACGTTATTTTAATATGGGTCCAGGTCAAGATCAAAAGCAAGGTCAAACGGTCAAATACAGACACTTTAATGTAAATTCAAACGAGCAAAAAGCAAACCGCTTAAACATACACAATAAACAGTAGTTTCACAATCCTCTATGACCTCCTCATCCTCATTAACTCCTCAATCCGCATCAATCATCAATTGTCATCTGTCGTCATCATACACCTAAGCCCTCTTCATTGCTTACGTGCGCATCTATTTTCGTCGAATTGACACTACAACGGGCGACTCCTCGCCTCGCAGTTGCAATAATCTGTGCATGAAGGCCTGCACGGTTGCACTGGGCAACGTTGCCCCGCTGCCATGCCTTGCCTCTGCGCCTGCAGCTGCAGCGTCACTACACTCCAGGACGCTTGGGGAGCAACTGGCGCGTTAGCATGGTCGGTGTGATGGTGGAGGCCTTTGCATACTCCACCAAAAGTTGGTAATATGTAGAGCTCTTCCAGTGTGGTCCACGTTGGTTGCTGTCCTTCACAGTAGCATCTGAAGGTGATTCCACGAGCACATCAGCTGCAGCGTTGACGTCAGTCGGATGGCAAGTTTCTTCAGTTGTGGTCGACTTCTTATGGCTGCGGTAGAGGCGAGTACGTCAATCAATTCATTGTCGACAACTCTTTCTGCCGTCGAGAGGGAAAGAAGAACTGTCTGCTGTCGCTTTGAGTTGAAGCATGGTCGCGCCAAGCTCTCCAAGCACTTGATGCGCAGACGCTGGTATATCAATCTCCAGGAGCTTGAGTGCTTGACGTTTTCCTTTCCGAAGGGTACGACACCGTACTCGCAGCCTGACAGCGCATGACAACTGAGAAGCTGGCTGCACTTCTGGGCTAACCGACTCAACAGTTTGTTATGATCCAGGACATCACCATTCCCTTTCCATTTGAATCTGCAATGACCCGCATCCTTGATGTCCAGTACACTAGGAAGGACGAAGAACGTCTGTGTCATCACTGAGGAGCGGATTTGCTGGGCATTCTTCTGCCTAGGCGCCTTTAGCAATGTAGCTGCAGAGAGTGATGTTCTGCCTCAGCATGGGTGACGACACAGTCCAGCTTGTGACAAGCTGATGTTGTGGGAAGGAGGTAGCCGCATAGGATGTTGTTGAGCAGACTCTGTTCGTGCCATTTTGTGAAGATAGCTTTGTCGGCATGGAAGCGGTGTTTGGGTCAGCCGCACTTCCTTGCTCTTCCTCTTCTCATGCTCAATCGCTCCTTTGCGCTAGGAGCTTCTTGGTCATACTTTCGAACAGTGACTATCTTTCCTTTGAGCAGGGGGTAGTGGCCAGTCGAACAGCCAACAGCTTGCAGCCAGATCCTGCGTCCACGACTGGCGCACACAACGTGGTATCAGCAGAGCTGACCCGGCGTCAACGACAAACACCGACGTACTAGGAGCAGTGAAGTCTGACAGAAACACCGAAACCTTGACGAGCACGGCCTGTGCCCTTCCTCAAACATCCATACTCACCAATCAGGATGTTGGGACTGACAGACTCAGTCAAACGGAGATGTTGGAATAGATCCCACGCTCCACTGCTGGCCACAGACCACACATCCGACTAAACAGTGCTCGATGCTGTAGATGGCCTTCCCCTTGACCAGTACTGCCTTCTTGAGTCCTCCATTGATCTGACCATTTTCTTTATTTTTGTGAACTCACTACTTAAGTGAAAGCGGAAAACACCTGCTTTGCTTTTGCTCACTCCCGAGTAGTCAGTGCATCCTGTAACATTCACGGTCGGGCGCCACTTGCCATTGTCAGATGTTATAGAGACCTGGATGCTGCTCGTTGAGGGGGTGGAGTGTAACTTCTCCAGCGTCTGCATCCGATCTTCCTCCGATCGACTTCATCCAGCTTCTTCTTACCTCGCTCCTCTTGCTGCATTTCTGTTCTCTCCTCTCTATGCACTCGACCTACGTGGCTTTCTCCTCATCCCTCAGCTTCACTGTACAATATCTTCCATGGCGATGTCGAGTGGGCCACACACACTGAAAACTGTTGACCCACACGCCACTGTGCGGCGCTCTTTTCGATAAGCCGCTTCCATACCCTCCAGCACCCTTCCCTCGCTTGATATATCTGTTCGCGCAAACGATCTGGCTGGAACTGCGGTCGCCGCCATCAGAATGCCAGACAGACATGTCGCGCCTGCCAGAGGTCCCCAGGCACTGCTGGGAAGGTGCTCCATCGTCCGCACATACCAGCTTCATGTAGCGGCATAATTGGTGACGCTGCTGCGAAGCAAATATGGCAGCACATTGCCGTTGAGAAGTGCTGCTGGAGGAGAAAGTCACGCATTCCGCTCTCCACACGCAGGAACTGAGCGTCCAGCAGTGCGGCTTGATGAGAACAGTCCACTCCATACCCCGCAGTTGTGGGTTTTTCTGGCTGTCTCCAGTATGTACACATCAGCTCTATGGTAATGTCTTGCACCATTTGAGTAGAACTCTGCAGCAACACGGCGGATGATGCGACGGTATGCCCGTAGAGCCTTTGTTCGGTCTTCCCGGTGATTGACTGTCATGCACCAAAACGCTGCCGCTCAGAGAATGTCCACCCAGATTCCTTCATTCAGTTCCCCTATACACCCAGGGAAATCTGCATGAAGGTGTGCCATCATGCCGGTGAAAGTATAGATTGGTCCACGCTGAGGGTCTCCTTTCCATTGTAACTAGCAGCAGTCTGATAAGTTGGAGATCAACAGAGCGTTGTGTACTGCATCCCGCGGGGGACCCGAACTTTTGAGAGTCCCTCGACGATACAAGGAGCGTAGTCATAACAGGTGTCTGGGTGAGACAGGGCTGAATCGATCATCGTCTAAACACCACCAGTGTCTTGGCTTAATGGGCAGAGCCGCCACTAGTCGGTCTGCTGAGTCATGAAACCGCCCTCTCAACAGGCTTGTCACTCTCATGGACTTGCGCCGACAGCCCAGGCGCGTCCTCGGCTGCTTACTGAAACTCACTGCAGCGGATTGAAGCCTGTGACATCTCTGCGGACAGAGCGTTCATTGGAATCGAGAGGTGGATTCACTTGAGAGGTCCTGTGTAAGGGCTGCAGCTGTATAGCCTGATTGAGCTATAAGTTGCTGAGCAGAATCCCTGTGTTTCTTGACTCGGGGGATCGTGAGCTGCATCCACCCAATGTTCCTGCTCGATATGCCAGCAGAGCTGGTGAACTCCATGAAACCATGGTGTGGGTGTTCATCCTAATTTGGTACCTTGTAATTTCAAGTCGTAGTTGTCAGCGCTATACTATATCTACTATTGACCGTGATATTTACATAAAGTGTCTTATTTTGACGGCGTTGACCGTCTTTGACCTTGCTTGACCACAAATCTAAAAATAACTCCAAATGAGACTCCCTGCCCTAGCGAAAACCCCTAAAAAGAGGTATTGCATACAACTCTGAGGCATCGGAGATCAACAAATGGTCAATTGACCTAAAATCCAAGATCGACGGCGGCGGCCATTTGATTCAAGAAATGCCCCCAAGTTGCACAGGTAGCAACCAAGCTAAATCAGCTCTCCTAACTATATAGAACACATTCCATAAAAAATTCAAAGTAATAACATTGGCCAGGTCAACATAGGAGATATAGGCCGGCAACCGACTTAAGAAGCTACATGCTTATAAACCATGTTTATAACAAAAAAGCCCAAACCAGTATAATTTAGAGATTAATAATCTTTATATTAGCACAACCACCTCGAACAACACACAAGTTATGCATAATAGTCAGCAATTCATTCGAATATAAAAAAACTCAGGCTGGCTACTTAATTTTTCGGAACAACCATTTACCCACAGTAATGGATAGCATGCACAATACATGCAGTGGGCACGACATGATCGCATGAACTCGGTAAAGAGCTAGATATACATTAAGACTTAGATGTATAATGTATTTACTACCAGTCTAAATGTTTCTCTACTATCATTCGCCTATTATTAGTAATAACTTCCGCTATTCAAATGCGCTCCTCTGCAAGACACAATTTTACCGCACGCACACCAGATTCGCGGCAAGGTGGGATCGAAAGCGTAAGCGCCAAAATTCGCACGTTTGCCTCGTTTCAGACCGTCACAGCACAAATACACGACCAACCACCTCCATTTTGGTATGTATGCGTAGCCGCTGTTCACGTGTTTAAATTACCACACTTGCCATTTGGTACAACTTAATTTACCCAGAGATATATGGTTAAATCCTGAGAAAAACTCCCACTTTATGGCAATTTAAATGGGATCAACTGCCTGTTCATTATATAAAACTCTCTAAACTAACTACTTGATTGTTTGGCCAATGAACGTAGTCGTATGTGTGACGTAATTCCTGTGCAAATGATGTTAAATTGGTTTGGCGGGGCTCATCATGGAGCATGCAACTGGGAACAGGGACGCTTGAACCCTGGAGTCAATTCGGCATCATTCCCCGGGAGGGGGGAGCACTCCAGATATATTGCATGGTAGGTATTAGCTATAGTACTATTGTAACGCTGCACAGCGTTACAATCAATAGAGCTACTCCCCCCCCCCCCCCACCGGCGCAATCACACTTCGGCATTCTGTAAATTCTAATTGGGTTACAGTTTCTGGCTTTATTGAGACGGCATTATGTAATTGAGTTACAGACCCAAGAGCCGCTATCTCGTCCCACCAGCGCTACCACTCTGTTGGGAGTCGTGCAAATG